AAGTCTCACCATCTGCACTCTTCCCATTGGTCTTCCAGCTGTTGCTGCCACGTCGACCCACGTACAGACAGCCTCAAGTTCGCCCGGTCCTGCATAAACCACTCCTCTAGTTTGCCATTCTCTGCTCTCTGCTTTGCTCACAGCCTTTCTTGACTTTCCCACCAACCCCGCTGCGGATCACAGGAACCGCAATTCGGCAGGGAAAGAGAAGGAGAACCCGTTGAGAAGAGCCGTCGCCAGAAGCCGTCAAGATGAAGTCCCTGGCCTTTCTCACCGCCGTTCTGGTGTTCTTCACCTCGTTCACGGCTGCGTGGACCAAAGAAGGTACGTCACTTCGTGTCCTCGACTGTACCCCGGTGCAATTGTAGGTGTGCCATTGTAGATTCGTCAGCTAACCCTCCCCCCCCTCCCAGACCACGAAATCTTCCAACTCAACGACGCCCTCAAAGCCGACCAGGGCCCAAACAGCACCTTCTACACCTTCATCGGCGTCCCGCCCTCCGCATCGCAAGACGACATAAACCGCGCCTACCGGCGTCTCTCCGCCCGCCTGCACCCAGACAAAGCCCGCCAATCCTTCATCGCCAACTACGGTAAACCTCCCCCCGGCCAAAAACCTACCGGCAAACCCATCGTGCACAAGAAACCCACCCAACGCGAAATTGCCGCCGCCCACAAGGCCGCCGAAGATAGGTACGCGCGCCTCAGCGCCGTGGCCAATGTGCTCCGCGGCGAGAATAGGGAGCGCTATGATTACTTTCTCAAGCATGGGTTTCCGGCTTGGCGCGGCACGGGGTATTATTATGAGCGTTTCCGCCCGGGGATTGGGAGTGTGCTGATCGGGCTCGTTGTGGTCATGGGCGGTGTGGCGCATTATGCGGCGCTGTACGTTTCCTGGCGCCGTCAGCGCTCGTTTGTGTCTGCGTATATCCGCAATGCGCGCCGCATGGCGTGGGGCGACGAGAGCGGCATTGCGGGTATCCCGGGCGTCGACGCTACCTCTGCAGCTGCGACGGGCTACGACACCCCGCCGGCGAGCGAGGGCGAGGCGGTTGCGTGGAATCGCCGGCAGAAGCGCCTGCAGGAGCGCGAGAGCCGCAAGGCCGCCAAGAACCCGCGCAAGTCAGCGGCGGCGAAGAAAGAGGGCAGCAGCACGCCCGTCGAGACCGAGGCCCCTGCTACCGGACCGCAGGGCGCGAAGAAGCGCGTCACTGCGCAGAACGGGAAGGTGCTCATTGTGGACAGCGTTGGGAATGTGTTCCTCGAGGAGGAGACGCAGGATGGGCAGACGCATGAGTTTCTGCTTGATGTACGTACCGCCAAGAGCGACCTGAAAAGGTCATGTCATCCCCCTCCTGCAAGAGTCTGGCAGGGTTGAGGCGACATGGCATTTTCGGGAGCCCTTGAACCATAGGACCATGTAAAGGATTATGCTAACGCGGATCAGGAAAACGAAATCTCTCAGCCGACCATCCGCGACACCGTGCTGTTCAAGCTACCCGGCCTCATGTACCGCAGCACCGTCGGCCGCCTGCTCGGCCAGAACGTGGAGGAGCCGGTGTACGCGGACGTGCCTGAAGACGAGGAGGACGCGGCGCTAGATGGTGCGGCGGCGCCGAATGCCAACGCCGAGGTTCGGCGGCGGAAGGCGAAGGCGAGGGGGCAGCGGGGGTAGAGGTGCATGTGTTGCTTGTTTGCTTGTGTATGCCTTGTAAGCTTCGTTGTATGAATATGCTATATGCTGGGTGCTCTGATTTTGGACGGTAAAAAAAAAGTAGATGAATCGAATCGAGGATCGGCGCTTGAGGATCGGCGCGTGATGGATCTGCATGTTGGATCTTTGGATCTGGTGGTGATGCTGGGCGAATGCTGTGATTGGTGGCTGCGATCAGATATGCCGACCGGGGATGCCTCCCATGGATTTTGCTGGGCACTTCGTCGCAAGGCTAGCCCCCTTGGCTGGCTGGACTACGCCGACGCAAGGCTTCGACCTCAACTCTGCACTCGACTGTCTCTTTCAATCGAGGCCATGTATTCCCGGCGACTTATCGGGATGCATTCTGCTAATACACATGCAGGCCGCAGTCTCGGTCTCGGAGCCATCTCCCCTCTGCCGATCCGCGATCGCCGCCGCCAAATAAGACATGCAGTATCGAGACATGCATCTCTCGAGTCTGCACCGCCAGCGAATAAGTATCACCACTCGGGACCCAGCAGCCTTCGTGCTCCGCTGCTTTCCCCCCACAGTTCCCTCCCTCCATTACAATGCTCACCTCCATTCTCTACCTCCCCGCCCCCGGCCTCACCATCCCCCGCCGCAGACGCAAGCCCACGCTCTGCCGCACCGTCTACGACACGCCCCGCAAACCCTTCGACACGCAGGCCACTCTCAACCTCGCAGCACGCTACCTCCGACCCTTCATCCTGACCCTCGCCACGCTCATCACGCTGCTCACCTACGCCCTCCCGCACCTCGGCACGCCCATCCCAGCATCACGCCTCGATATCGTCCTCCTGCTCGCCGCCATCGTGCCCGCCCGCTGGTTGGGCTGGGTGAACTGTGCTTGCTTACTCCTACCGCTGAACCTGGAGGTCGCGGGGCAGCCTCTAGCCACGAAGTCCGGCCCGGCCGAAAAGTGTACTCCGACCGAGAAGCCAGCGGAACCACCCCCACGCCTCCTCCTCTGCCTCGTCACGCGCGGGCGCAATGCCAGTGCCGTGCACCGCTCCGTCGCCGCGCTCCTCCCGTCCCTCTCAGCAGCTCAATCATCCATCCTCCCCGCGGAACTGCACATCGTGACGGAACCGGGTACAACGGGGCGCTTCCACGCGCTCACCTCCCACCCGTACATAACCCTCCACGTCATCCCGGACACCTACCTCCCCCCTGTTGCGCAGCACAAAGCCCGTGCACTTTCCTTCTTCCTCTCCGTCACCCGACCCGGCGCGGACGACTGGATCCTACACCTCGACGAAGAAACGGTACTGGACGCCCACGCGCTGGCGGCGGCACGCGCGGTCGCGGCCCGGGGTGAGGTCGACATGGCGCAGGGTGTGCTGCAATACAACGCGTACGCGCACTGGTCGTCGTCGCTATGGACTGTAGCAGACTGCGCCAGGGCAGGCGAGGACTGGGGCCGGTACAGTTGGCAATGCGTATGGGCGGGGCGCAGCGTGTGGGGCTTGCATGGGAGTTGGTTGCTTGTCCGGGGCGGGGCGGAGTGCGAGATAGGGTGGGAGACCGGCTGTTTGGCCGAGGACTATTGGTTTGGTGTTGAAGCCCAGAAGCGCGGCTACAAGCTAGGCTGGATCCCCGCCATCGCGCGGGAGCAGCCTCCCACCAGCCTAGCGGATTTCGTGCGCCAGCGTCGGCGCTGGGCGGCGGGGCTGTGGAGCATGGGCGAGGTGTGCGCGCGGGTGTATATCCTGACGTGGGCTTGGGGACTGGCTGAAGGACTTTTGTACTTCCTCCCTCCTTTATCTCGCCGCGAGCTAACGGCTACAGACGGCTCTATTTTCTGGCCTCGGGTGGGCCGCGCCGCTTGCCCTGGTGGCTGTTGCTGATGCTGTGTCTTGAGAACGGGTTCAGTCTCGCGGGAATGGCATGGGGGGTGCTTGTACAGGATTATGATGCGGGTCTGCCGTGGGGAACGGTGGTGCGGCATTGCTTGTTGGGGCTGGTGATTGGGCCGCTCGTGGGGTGGCTTGGGAGTTTCGCGGCGGTGAGTGCGTTGTTGGTCGAGGTTGGTGGGTTTTATGTGATTCAGAAGTAGAGGGCGAGCGGCGAAGAGGGATGGCTGGTTGCCTGGCTTTGGACGGGTTCGTATCACCCGGTTCCGTACGGACTCAGTTACCCGATCCTGGAAGAACTAGGTTACCCGGCCCCCGTATCTGCTCGGTCATCCCGTTTCCCGACGATGCGGCAGGACGGCTTCTGGATGGTCTCGGTTACCCGATCTCTAGCAGTGGTCAGTTGTCCGGCTTTAAAAGCGCTTTAGTACTCAGCTGTGAAAGTAGACGGTTACCCGACTTCCCGGGCAGTCGTGATGATCGAGACGGCGTGGGAATCCCGCTTCTATGCCACATGAGGACTAGGAGGAAGAAGTGACCCGCTGTGAGGGTTGATTTGCAGCTGGAGACAGCTGGTCATAAAATCCTCACATGGAAGCGTCACTGCGGCTCGTGTGCAAAACAAGTGCATGATTGAGAGTAAAATCGACGACAAAGAACAAAAAAGGTGAGCGGCAGGGTAGTCAAGTCTACTTATCATGCTTGCTACGTATGCTCCTTCCGAGCTTACCCAGCGTTCCTTCCAGTCTTGCCATATGTCACTTCCTCAGTAAGAAAGTTCCTTCCAGGGACACCAATGCCCCTTCCTTAAGTTCACATCATGCTCGGTGTTTTGCTCCATTCTTCGTCGGCTCTGCTCGCCCTAAGTACTGGGAGACCTCGGATAACTGTGCGGATGACGAGCTCTCGTACGAGAAGAAACTTTTCTCAAAATAAACCAAGCGGGATGGATGGTGCGATTACCAGCTTCACGCAGTGTAGGCGCCATGGGCTGCGTGTATCGTGGGTATATAGCGTCTCGAAGCGTAGGCTGACGTGCCGGTTCAACCTCAGTACCCCCCTACCCTTCATGAACAAGAAGTAGAGGCATTGAGTTTATTCATGAGAGGCGAAGTGAGAATTCAAATGCGTGGCCGCGGGACAGAACTGACGTCACTCAGAGGTCAAAATGGAAGGAGCAAAATCTGCAAAATTCGTGAGCACATTCTCTACTTAACACTCTTCGCCCACAGAAAGATCCTTAAAGCGTACGTCCTCGACTCCATCAGCAACTTTCTCACTTCCCCAGTCGTCACTGACTCCCCTGCAATTGCCTCAAAACTGCAAAAAAAAGACAGTCGTGTAAAGCTCTACTTCACATGCTACACGCATGCACCCGCTGCGGTCCCTTAACGGACCTTTCAGGCATCAAGAGAACCGCACACAACTCCAGCCCGAGGCGGGGCTCGAACCCGCGACCTTGAGATAATCCCTTGGTGTAAGAGTCACACGCTCTACCGATTGAGCTACCCAGGCTGTCCACTTGATGCTCCAAAACCGCAGACTCGTAACCCACATGCATACGGAAGTACAGTATGCAGACCGGGTGCGCAGAAGTCGGAGGAGGGGAGATTGGCTCGCGTCGGGCCGGGCGTTAACAGCGGGAAGTGGACGCTAAACTCCCGAACCAAAAGAGCAGAGACATCCGGAAAAGGAAGCGGCAGACGCTAAACTCGGGTCGACGCGAGGACGAACTTTGCCCGATGGTAAGGCATGCAGCGGGGCGGCGGTGTGCTTTGATTCCCAGCCACGTGCGGCGATCGGCCGCTGCCAAAGCAACGCTGCCGACATCACAAACAGGCGCACGCCCGGCGTCGTGGTCTGCGCCACAAATTTCGCAGAGATGGGCTAGTGATAGCGACGCCGTTCGCGCGGTTGCCGTCATCGCAAATTGACGCCACAATGGTATCCTGTTCGCGCGGAGCTCGACATGGACAAGCGGTGGAACTCCGGTTTCTACATCCGTACGCTGCCTGCGCCGAGCCAACAGCAGTTCCAGCGGACGTGGCTCCAGCAACACCCGCGACGGTTGACGAAGTTCAAACTGTGGCGGTTTAACAACGTTAAGCGGAGGCGGGTGTCATTCGCTGCGACGGTAGGCGTTCCTGGACCAATTGCATGGGCGCCTATCATGGTGGTGCATGATAGGGGCTTGGCGGGAAAGCTTGATTCGCGTCAGTGGGTGGGGTTCGAGATCGAGTGCGACGCGTCGAACGGCGGGGCGGCGGCGATGGGGATGAAGTCAGCTGAATGTGCACCGGATTTCGGGGAGTGAGGGAGAGACTGAGGTTGACGGAGTGGTGGGAAGGTTCAATGAGGAGGAGAGGTCTTGCGGATGAGCAGATTGCAGGAGCTTGGTGGTGGTTGAGATGGAATTAAACATTCACGGGGTAGTTATGGAGGGCAAACGCAATTCAGTTCCATCGGCGACAAAAAGGTACGAGTATGAGGTGTCCGCGGATAGAGAATGCCGAGACGCATGTGCTCCGATGCAAGGCAGGCCAAGTGTCGTAGTCAACGCGTCTGTAAAGCCTCAAGAACCGCATTATTGCTGGGCACCCTCAACATCGTGAGATCAGACGACTCCATCCTGTTGTTGCGCCGGCGGGCAATTATCCACAAACGGGACTAGTGTCGCAAGCCAGCTCGGGGCAATACGCGGCCTCAGCGCCGATAAGCATGCACGGAAGCAGAAAGGGCTGGTTGTTGAGGAGGAGAGAAATGGCAAACAAATGGAGGGAAGAGGAAAAAAGAGGCGCAACCTGCATCGTTCTGCTGGGTGGGCATCGCTTGCTGCTTCGGATCTCCAACTTCCACTTCCAATTCAACTTTCCGCTTTCCGCTTCCCAGAACGACTCAAGCAAGCAAAGCAAGGGCCAATTTCCGCTGGCCAGAGTCAATGCGCCTTGCCTTTGATTCTCGGAGCTAGTGAAGGATAACCGGCGGGCGGTTCGCTTTGCGCTTTCTGCCACTTTTGTTCAGTGGCATAAAGTTCCTGCATTCCCCCCCCCCCACTCCGAGGTTCGCGAGATTCTTCTTGTTCTTCTTCTTCTCTCCCACCACCCCCCATCTCCACCCAAACCCGCATCTCACTCTCCCCCGCCAAACGTTTCCCTACCTCCTCACTCCCCCGCCTCCTGCAAAGCAAGCGTACAAAAAAACCAAGCTTCTGCATCCCACACCACCAGCCGCCTCTAAAAACCAAGGTAAGCCGCCAATCTGCATTCCCCAGCCCCCCACCCCATCCAATCCCGCGCCTCGCCCGCCTCCTGGGTACGCGGCTTGGCGGCACAAGCTGCAGCAGCAACGGTAGCTCTGCGGCGCAACGAAGCTCTTTATCACGGGCCGTCGCGCACCACAGCTCCACGCCCCCTCCCAATCCCCAATCCTCACCTCTCACGAACCCAAAAAAAAACCACACCCCCCAAATCCTTCTAACCTAACCCCCCGCAACCAGTTATCCATACCACAACTCACAATGCGCTTCTCAACCTTCCTCGTCGGCTGCGCGGCCCTCATCGGTGCCACCACCGCCCAGTCAAACTTCACATCCTGCTGCAACATCGAGCCGAACAGCGTTGACGGTCCTACGCGCGCGTCGTGGTGCCGCGCTCAGACGAACACCTGCCCCGAGGTTTGCAACGGCCAGACGAAGGAGAACACCTGCGACTCGGTACGTCCCCCCACCCCATCCCATCCCCCCAAATACTAATCTCCCCCTCCAGACCAAGCTCACCTTCACCTGCACCTGTCTGACCGGCAACACGCCCAACATCAGCGACTACGCGCAAACGCTCCCCTCCCTCGAGTGCGACAACTGGGTTGCGCAGTGCACCGCCGCCCACCCCAACGATCTCGCCGGTCAGACCTTCTGCCAGTCCTTCCTGTGCGGCCGCAAGAACGCAACCGCGGGGATTAAGGGTCCCTCCGGTACGTCGTCGGCGTCTGCTTCGGGTTCGAGCGCTACCGGTTCGTCCTCTGGCACGAGCAGCCCTAGTGCGAGTGCGTCGGCGAAGAGTGCGGCGGCGGTTATGCGTGTGGGCAAGGAGTGGGGTGTTGTGGGTGTGTGTGTGCTGCTTGGGGGTTTGTTCGGTGTGGCCTTGTAAACGGGGAGTGGGAGAGACCGAGGTGATGATTAATGAGCGAGGGTCGGATGGGTTCAGGATGCTGGTGACTGCTTCTTTTCCTGCGTTTTAGATGCGGGGATCGGGACAAGGTTATGTGCATGGACATTGTTGATGGGCATTGTTTGCGACGTTGCTGAAGGTGGAGGCGATGCGTCGGATCTGTAGGCAAGCGCGTAATGAAGCGGATTAATGATGCTGACACCGAGGCTGGTTTGGATGAAGTGCCGTACCGAATTTAATGATGCTGATGCCAATGTAGGTTCGGATGAGGTGCCGCGCTTGGCGAGGCTGGTGCGAGCCTTGTGTTCAATGGGGAAGGTGTCAGCCTGCGGTTGTCGCGATCGGATTGAGATACGGTGGCACGTCGCATGCGCCACCCGGCGGGTCCACGCATCCCAAAACTCCATTCTAGTCTATCAACCGTACCGACCTCATGGGTATACAACCACACCTATGCCAGCTTCTCATCCCCCCCCTGCGTCCGCTTTACAACACTCCCATCCTCCATTCCAAAATACACGGCCACGGGCTTCTGTCCACCTGCCTTCCCTCCCTTCGCCGCAATCTCATCCCCATCACTCCCAGCAAACAGGCCTACCTCCAACACGCCCGTGATCGCCTTGATCGCACGGCTCAGCGCCTGGACTTCCCACTTCCCATCGCTGCCATCACCCTTGGCGCCCGCGGATACGTCCTTGGTGGTCAGGAGGGTCGGGAAGGGCGCGTCGATGATGAAGAAGTCTTGGTCTGTTTTCAGGGGGCCCGATTTGTCGAGCGCGCCGGGGCGGACGATGGGGTCTGGGGAACCGAGGGCTTTTAGGGAGCGCAGGACGGGGGAGACGGCGATGGGGGCGACTTCGATGGGGATTGTGGGCCAGGAGGTTAGGAGGCGGGGTTGGGACTTGCGGTAGTCTGATGCGGGGTTAGGGCTGGTAAGGAAGGCACGGGGGAAAGGGTGAGGAAGGAACGCACCAGCGACACACACGAAGCGCCGTGCCCGCTCGGCCACGAGCTTCTCCTGGAAGAGACACGCACCCCCGCCCTTAATGCAGTTCAACTCCTCATCCACCTCATCTGCGCCATCAAACGCCACATCCAACACCACAGCATCAGGGAGGTGATCGAACAGCGTCGGCGTCAGGCCCGCCTTTAGAATAACCTGTCGGGACTGGTACCCCGTGGGCACGAAGTGGATCGTGTGGTGTGGCGGCAGGTCGTGCTCGGAGTCGGCGACTACGGCACTGGTGCTCGGGCTGGAGGAGAGGTGCGGGTGGTTGATGCTGGGGGCGGTGGAGGTGGGTTTTGCGAGGCTGGCGCGGCGGGCGCGCGGGGAGGAGGCGGCGAGTGCGTCTTTGATGGCGTCGACGACGTAGATTATTGTTGTTCCCGAACCGATGCCGACGTAGGTGTAGGAGGGACTGAAGTGGGCAGCTACGGCGGCGCGGGCGGCGGCGCGTTTGGCGGCTTCGACGGACATGGTGGGGGGAGTGAGGTTGGTGTGGAGGGGGCGGTGGTGGTGATGGGGATGAGGAGGTCTAGATTGACGACGGACGAGATGTGGGCGAATTGGTGATGGGAGAGAGGTGAGTGAACGGGCAATTAGCAGCGATGGGATGAGTGGTAGGCAGGGTGGCGGGCTGAAAATTCGTGGACCCGGCATCGGTGAGGGGTTAGGTGAGGGCTCGGCGGGGTCTTGGGCTCATGTGGGTTATGGCGGGGGAACGGAGGGAGAGCTGCAGCTTGCTGGGATGTGTGAGTTGCTTTCCGGGTGTTGAGAGCATCAGTAAGCGGACTATAAATCGGTCGTGCGAGTCCTGTTCGAGCAATTGGTTTTCGAAAGGCCCAATGAGGAAATGGTAGATACTTTGACATCGGACGTATGGGAAAATTCACCTCTTTCTCTCTCGCGATATGTCGTCCGTCCAGCGTTGAACGACACTGGTGCTGTGAAGCCAATCAGTCCTTCTCAGTTGTCACGAGTCCAGACTCTTATGCACTGCCACGAATACTGACCTCGGAACTCGGTGGCGGTGCAGGATTCTTCTCTGCTCCCCGCGGTTTTCCGCTTAGTACCGTCAGTGGCTTGTGACGACGCATCATGCACAAAGCAAGGGCAAACGGCGTACGGGCATCACAAGGACCAACAACTATCGTGAACTCTCAACAGTTTTTTTGCCTTCTCAAAAACTTGTTAGAAAGCGTATCTACTTACCTACTCAATCCTTCCCCTCTTCCCCCTTTCCCCCCGCGCACGAGTACATGAGAATTGCTCCCCGCACTTTTTTTTACACTTCCCCATCTTCCCCGCTGTTTGTTCCCCGTTACTCCACACTCCGCTTCCCTCCGCGA